TGTGAGTTCGATTCCCGGTACTGAAGAAAAACCAAACCAAACAAAACAAAACAAAACAAAAAAACACTGGAGCAAGGCTAGTATCTGATACCTTTCTCCCATAACAAAGATTTAAACATGCAGAGCACTCTAACATTACATTTTCAGGGAAAAAACAATGGAAACAAAGAATACATACTCTTCCAAGCAATGAGCCAAAAGCAAACTTCAAAGTTGCATGCAATCCAGAATCAGAACCATATTTTTAAATCATATACATGAAATAAAAGGCTAGAGGGAAACATCAAAATGCAAATTGCATTGAGATTATGAGTAATTTTTTTCTCTTGCTTGTTTTCCCAATTTTCATAATAGCCCCCCCCAAAATCATAAGAAAAGCTCCCTCAAAGGAATTTTTAAACAAACATAAGATTTTAAAAACTGTTTTCAGGGGCTGGGGATTTAGCCCAGCGGCAAAGCGCCTGCCTGGCAAGCGCAAGGTCGTGAGTTCGGTTCCCGGTACCGGAGAAAAACCAAAAAATAAAAAATAAAAATAAAAACTGTTTTCAAAGCCCTTTCACATCTGTTATCTCATCTGATTCTTAGAGCAACCCTTTTAGGGGGAGCTGATGTTATATAATTCCATTCTGTAAAGTACAAAACTAAGACAATATGATTAGGACCTGTCCTGTCACTCAGTTGGCTGGAGGTTCACCTACAGGTGGCTCCCAGGTCTCCAGAGTCCTTGCCAAAGCCCTGGGTTCCACATGTCATCTCAGATTCCCAGGGCTCTAGGATGTGCTCTCTTTAGTGGGAATAGCTGCTACCTGGACGTGGCCTTGGGGTACTAGCGGGTATGTATAGCTGTTGATGATAGACAGCATAGAGGTCCCCAAAGTTACAGTCCTTGCCTGGGGTATTCTGCCACCTCCTGTCTTGCAAGGCACCAAGTCCATGTGGGCAGAAATTCTTGGACTTGTTGAGAGCAAGGGAGGGAGAGAAAGGACAGGCTGTGCTTGAGAATCAAGCCTGACAACATTTCTTGTCTCGTTTCTGGAGAAAGACGATTGCCGAAATGGGTCTGTCCTTGTGCCGTTCAAGGAAGTCTTCCCTCTGACACTTTCTCTCTCCCCAGCTCGCAGAAGTCACCAGAGGCTTGCGAGAGGGTCTCTATCCATTCAGGTCCTGAAGAGCCTCGTGTGCTTTGCTGGAGAAAACCAAAGCCAGAACCAGACCAGAACTCAGACCCACTGTTGCCAGTGTGGGGTGCTTTGGGGGGCCACGCGCAAAGCACAGCGGGGTTGGGGAGGACAGGTCTGCTCTCACTGCCTTCCCTCTGAGGCCTCATGCCTACTCCCTGGTGACTGTCCTTCCCTTATATTTCTTGACTTCACCTACAACTATTTACCACGGATGACTGGAATCAGCCCTGGAGGAGATTCGGGGGTACTCCAGATCCATAATTAATAGTACCACTGCTGCGGACTTACTGAATGCGCCATCCTAATGAATCCCACCTGAGGTCCCATAGTCACTGCCATGTTTTAGTGGAGGACACTAAAGCCTGACAGTGTCATCACTTACCTAAGGGGACCCAGCTGCTCAGCCCTGAGCCAGAAACAAAGCGCCTTCGCTGCTTGCTGTGGCAGCTTCCCTGGAGCCCAAGGATGCCTGTTTTGGGGACTCTTAAGTTAGTCACGCCCCACATTCAAAGCCACTTTGTAGAAGACATGGACTTTGAAAAGCAGAAGGAAGAAGGGCCACCCCTCTCCCTTTCCGAGGTGAAGGAGTGGATTGAGCCAGGCAGACAGGGCTGCTGGTGCCTGGATATTCCCCTGGCTGATTTTAACTTGTGTTTGACTTGTCTTTCTAGAGCTCTGTGAGCAAATACAATCTAGGACCTGGGAGAACAGAATAACGGGGGAGAGGAACGTGGGAAGGGACTGTGCACTGAACTAAGAAACTGCTAAAATCTTTAAATATCTTGTGAAATTTCTTTTCGTGCTTTTTTTGCCTTTGGCTCCCCACAATGTTTTTGTTTGGGTTCGGTTGCCACGAGTGGACTGTTTTTAGCTGCCTAGTTCCTTCCCCTCCCCTTTTAATTTTTTTCCTTCCTTCTGCACATGCCCCAGCGTGAAGCCTCCACTTCTTATCTCACTCAGCAAAACATCCCGAGGCTGATCTGGACGTCGATTCCCCAAGCGGTTCTCCAGTGTAAAACCTCAGCCCTAGTCAAGTCTCTGCCTAACCTGCCTTCGCTGAGCGTTAACCCCTGGAATAACCGGAACCAGAGCTTCTTTCTGAGGCAGGAGAGGCAGTCTTGCCTTTTTGCCGAAAAATGATTGTCGTACAGGGAGTTTTTCTTGCCCATCCTTGCGCGGTACTGACAGTGTGCCGGAGGGGCGATGGTGGCACTGTCCCGACTCCCGGGACGCTTTTCCGGGGCTCCGATCTCGGGGGCGCTTCCCTTCTAGGTCTCTGCAGGTCGGCACGCATTTGCCAGCTCTCCTTGGGGCTTGGGGAGGGCAGTTTGGGGTAGGTCTGGTTTTCCTCGGGTGTTTCTTTCAAGTGGGGGTGGGCTGACTTCGCCTGCAAGCATCTTATGGCTTCCAGGGCTTCGGCAGGTGAGCAGGCACAGGATGCTAAGCTCAGACTTGTGTGTGGCCGACGGCGTTGCTATCCAGGTACCACTTGTTCAATCAAAACGAAGAATTATTAGAGCAAAACAAGAGTACGGAAGTGCGATGGTACGACGGTGATAACAATGAGCCCATCGCGCGTTGTGGGCTTCTCTCTCCAGTACTTTTTTCTCTACTTGGGTTTGTGGAGCTGATGTGGCTGGTTGTTTACTCAGCTCCCTCAACTGAATTTCCCCAGAAGGACAGGATCAAAACTCCACCGATCTGGCTTGAGTGTATTCATGGAATCACAGTTTTGCCCGTCACATTGGTTACAGATTTCTGCAGGCAGCTCGCAGGGGTAGTGAAAAGCTTTCCCCCCACCCCTATCTTCTGGGGTCACTTTGTCTTGGTGCTGCTTTTCCAAATGACTTTCGCTGAAACGCAAAACTCTCTCCCATCTGAGCTCGCTTGGCATTCTGGGGTTGTGCAGACACGCCCGGGGTTTACCTGCCCGCTGTCAGCCCCGGGGCGGGGCGTGGAGGTGGGGAGCCGAGTGTGGGCGTGGGAGACGGAGGTGGGGCAGGGACAGCAGTTACCAGGGCGACAGGCAAAGCAAAACACAAGGCCCACGCTTCCAGCAAGACGCTCCAGGAAATCGAAGCTAGATCAGGGCAGGATCTCCGGGGATCCCTGGATGGGGCCACCCCAGGGTTTCCTGGCCTCGCCTCTGTCTTCCGAGCCCCAAAACTGTAGCGGAAGGCGGGGGGCGGGGGGTGGGGTGGGCAGGAACCCAAGTGCAGACAACTTGATTTACCAGCAGCTCTGAGAATGGATGTCTGCCCCAGGGGGACACTGACTCCCCAGGGCGCGCGTGCGGGTGAGGTGGGGGAGGGAGAGAGGGAGAGGGGGAGGGAGAGAATGAGAATAAAGGAATAGGGATTAGCAGGACGCTCCATTAGCTCCATTACGATCTTTACAGCCTTTCAGGTGCTGCGGGGTGCGGATGCCGGGTGAGACAAGGGTTCGAGACACCTTTAGCTCTCATCTCAAACTAGCAAACTCTAACCTTTGATCCCCTCTCTCTAAATGGCAGTTGGAAGCAGGTGTCTCCGCCCTTGGCCGCACCCTATAGCACGGAGCGCGGTCAGTTCTCCCTCCCAGGCAGGTGCGAGAAAGTCCCCGGGCCACACTTGCGTCCTCATCCAAACGTCCGTGGGCTACTGGGAAGAACCTGATTCTGCCGCTCTCAGAGCCCAGTTGGAGCCAAGGAAGCGGAAGCAGAAAATTGTTTCAAGGTTGAAACCCAGTTCTACTGAGCCCTCAGCTGTAAACTCAGGACCCCCAGTTAGAGGGTATGGGAATTTCAGCCGAGGGGCTCCATTCTGGTTGGGATCCGTGCGTAACCACCCACCCGTGCGTAACCCGGGCGGTCCGGTTCCAGCCCCAATCCTCTCGGGGCGCAGAAGGATGAAGACCGGTTTTCCCTAAACATTGTCCGAGAACCGGGAGACTCCCGGCCCCGGTCCTGCCCGTGGAGACCAAAGTACTCTTCCCCACACTTCAGCCGCTTCCTAGCCCCTCGTGGTTGCCTCTCATTTCTTTAGGTCTCTCCTTTCCACGCTCTTGTTGCTTTCTATGAAAACCGCCTCGCGAATTTCAAATGCTTTGTGGTTGTTTTGAAAAACAAAAACACAAACAATCACACGCGGCTCCGACAAGGTCCCAGGGTCCGCGGGTTCCCAGCTGGCCCGGAGGCGCTCCGCGCGTGCGCCCCGAAGTGCTGCCCTCCGCGTCCGCGTTATCCGGCCAACTTCACACCAGCGGGGAACTTTGTGGATTCTCGGCAGGACGACTTTGGGCACCTCGGCCACCCGGGAAACGAACGTTACGGCCCCTACCTCACCCAGTGCTCGAGAAAGAGCTGGCTGGCGCGTGTGGGATGGGGGTGGGAAGGACATTGTCCTGAATCTCCAAAAAATGACCACGCAATTTGGAGAAAGGTCGTGCCCGATTCCCAGCCTCACCTAGTCTGGGTCGCGGCCAGGACCCGCCTCCCCGCCTCCCGCCTCCCCCCAACCTAGCGGAGGGAGAGATGCCAGCGCGGTGGAGTCATGCCGCTGGCTTGGGCACCATTGGCTCATGCCTGGAACACGCAGCGGCGAGTACGCACATCTGGCGGTGCGCCCGGGCTGCTCCCGGCCTGATATGGAGCGAGAGGGCGGGCGGGTGTGAGTGTCCACGGGGTGCCCGGCCGCCGGCTCCGCCCCACGCTTGCATCACCGCCCCCCACCCCGCCCTCGCGCGCCCCGCCTTCGCCCCTCCTCCACCCCTCCCTCCTGAGCTCTGCCTGGCCGGTTCTCCTGGAAGCTATTAATAGCATTACGTCAGCCTGGGGCTGGTAACCCGGAGTAAAGGGGCGCTCTGCCAAAGCCGGAGCTATAAAAACGGTGATGCAACGCACTCCGAGCCACAGTCGCACTCGGCGAGGCGCGCACTGCAAGGCACTCTCCCCGCTCCACCGCCTGACGGACGCACGGACCCACAGCCAGCCTGCGCCGGCCTGCCCTGTCCGCCCTCCGGATCCTGGCCGCCCCGCGCGGAGACTCGAGGTGAGCGCCGCCGGCCGAGAGAACGGGCGCGCCCAGGCGCCTCGCGTGCGTCCCCTTTGCTCGCCCCTAGTAACCTGTGTGTCCCCCGACCCCCGCGCCCACCCTGACCCCCGCGCCCAGCCTCCGGCGGCGGAACCGCTCTGGCTGAACTCCTGGCCACGCCTGCTCTGGAGCGCTCCGGAAAGTTTCTCGCAAAGTGAAAGAACGAAACTTTCTCTTTTGACTTGGGGCGCGCAAGATCGCGGGGGACCGAGGACTTCGGTCACCCTGCTCTGCCGCTGAGCTCGCGCGCTCGCAGCCGTGGCGGGGACCTGGCGCGAGGTGGGTGGCGGGGGTGTCCGAGGGTGTCCGAGGCTGTCCGGCTCGCCGTCCCGCTTCATCCCTCACTTGGTGTCCCAGACCCGCCACTGCGGACGAGAGGCGCGGTGGCCCGGGCTCCCGGCAGCGCTGACCCGGAGCCGCGAAGAATGAATGGGGAGGGGACCCGCGAGCTGGGGTCGCGGGCGCAGCCGCTGGGGGTCGCCCTGCGCGCTCGGAGCGCTCGGTAGCGAGCCGCGAGCGCAGGTTAGTCGGGACAAATTTAGAGGAGGCTATCGCTGGTGTCCTGGACGGGAGGTGGAGAGGACTCCCTGCTGGCGTCGGGCTCCTGGGGCCGGGACTTCTTGTTCCGGTCTGCCGCGCGCTTTTCTCTGCTACCTGTGGCGCTCACGCTCGCCTTTCTTTTGGCGGGTCTGCGGCTTTGGCTGCCTTGCGCCGGCGGAAACACTCCGGGCCGAGGCGGCGAGGGTGTGGAGACGCTCGCAGGGACATTTGAGAGAGAATGGTTTTGCAGTCTAGAACCAGGACTCAGAGCTTCTACAGTACTGATGTTCTTGAGCCTCAGTAGCCCCAGCTGGGGAATATGGGCAGCAGACGCCGCCGACCAGGGAAGGTCTTCTCTAGTTGAACATGTCCAGACATTAGATTGGCAAAACTGAAAAAAGAGGAGCCTTCGGGGGGACATAATGTGGGGGGTCTCTGCTGTCACCCACTAATCTCTGAGACAGTGGTGGGGTAAAGGGGGCTTTTCTGTGGGGTATCTCTGCCCTTTCCTGGCCGTCTTCCCACTGAGCTGGTTCTGCCTTTCTGGCTGCACTGCTTTTCCTCTGCTTTAGACACTGCTTTCCTCCTAACCAGTTTCTTTTCCTTAATTTCTGTAGTAGATCACATAGACGTTCTTCCAAATCCTTGATGGAGCTGGGGAAAAAATTGAGAGCTAGCGTATCCGGGTGTTCTCATAATGTGTCTATGTGTGGGTGACAGTCGCATTGTCGGTGTCCCCAGCTTAAAGCGAAGGAGACATTGCAGTGGCCGTCCTCCTTGGGTTGCCTTTCCCCTTTGCCACAGGGTGATGCCAGGACAAGCAGGCTGTGGCTTCAGCGTCCTCAGCCCGGTGGGGGTGGCACTGACCCTGTCTGGATGGTTGCGGGCACGTCAAAGGCCACTGCCAGGCCCGCTATGTGGCAGCTGCGCCCTTATTGTTACAAACTTTCCTTCTTTTCCTTTAGCCATTATCTAATTTCTTTCTCTCCGTAAGCCCTCCCTGTCTTGGCCTTGTCAAAGTCTCTTCTGGTGGGTACCATAAAAGCACCGAGGACTACTGTCCCCTCGCCGACCTGGCTAACGGCTCCATTCTCCAGTTGCCTCTGGCGGGCCTCTGGATCCCGGTTGTGATGGAGTGAGATGACACGGACTGGGCCATACTCTGGCCTTCTGACCTTGGGCAAGTCATTTCACTTTCTTGGGCCTCCCTTTACTTACTTGGAAAATGAAGATCTGACCTATGTGGCTCTCATATTGGGTGTCCTGTGATTCCTTCTTTGTAAAAATTGGAGGCATGGGATGGATTCCTTGGCTCCAGGTGCTATCCTGCCAGGGGAAGAGGAAGGGCCAAGGCAGGAAACCACAGAAACTTTTCAAGGGAAAAATTTTTAGGGGTGAGAACTGGTAATCTCTCATGTACGGAAGAGCAGTGGAGAAAGACTGGTGTCAGCAAAGAACAAGGTGGAATTTACCTTGTGTCTTAGGAAGCCAGGGAGGGGTTAATCAAAGTACACAGCAGCTGGGACTGACTGCCCTGAAGTTTTTAAGGATTCCAGTTAATTCCTGTTAGGGCCGAACTGAATGGACAGCACAGTGAGTGGGCACACAGAGTCACAGGAATGTTGTGTGAATCTCGCATGTTCTTGTCCTCTGAGAATTAGGGCAGGCAGCCTTGACCTCACTTTACAAAAGGGGGACCCAGGCTCAGGGAGTCTCAATGGCTTGTGGGTGATACTCAGCTAGTAACATTAAAGCCCACCTTTCCATCTTCAAACTGGCTAGGACAAGGATCTGGGGAGGAAGAGTGACTGAAGGGTCAGGATGGATGCCCCAGTACCACACGTTGATTAGTGAGCAGCTCTTAGTGGGAAGAGATGGAAATTAAAAGTGAAAATTCAAAACCATGGTAGTTAAGAAAATAAAAGCCTGGGAGCTGAATTTCCAGTTAAAGAAATACACGAGTGAGGTTTCACTTTCCTGAAAGTGATGAAATTGCCAATGATATGACATGATTTCTGATTGACAATAATGAGGAGGAAGCAGAGGGCAATGTCTTTCGTAATGGGTGTGAACAATTTTATGGTCAATGTAGGCAGTCATTGCAGGACACTGAGGATCATCGAAAGCCCCCAAAACATTGTTTCTCTTCAATGAAGAGGGTGTCAGAGAGTCTCAGCTTTCTAAAGTTGTCTGAAAATTTAACTTTGTTTTCTGGGTAGGGACACAGCGTGAGTCTAAGAGGCTGAGTAAGGGACACGCTAGGAAGTGCTCCAGGAAGCTCGCGCTGGGCTAGAGAAAGCCCAGCTCGCCACAGACAGCGGCCTTATCTTCAGAGAGGTGCTTAGCGTTTTTACAACCCAGTTCAGTCCCCAAGTAAGCTCATCTGATGCTTTGCATAAAAACATTCCACGCCACGGACATTCTCTAGTTTCTTTCCTTAGAACTGCTGACTTTACAAGGAGACAAAAGTTCCAAACAGCAGCCCACAGCCCTGAGGGCTCATTAATAAACTGAGCTGGGCAGCAAGATGAGCACACTTAACTACCGTGCTACTCCAGCTACCTGTAGAGGACAGAGTTATTCAGTCCTCCAGAGAAAGGCGCCAGCCCTAGGTGGCTCTGGGGTCCATCCCCGGGTTTCTAGTAAAGTTGGAAAGGGAGAAGAGCATGCTCAACTGGGGGAGTCTTAAACCTCTGGCATCAGAAGCCTAGAGGAATCCTCCCAGCATCCTAAGATTACAGGATGGAGAGGGAAAACTGCAGCTCTGACTTGGGACACTTTGGGGAGGAATTGCATCCATTTCCTGGCTTGTCTGTTCAGAAACTTTTAAGATCAAAGAGGGTGACCCGCCCGCCATTCTTCCACCTGGACCTCACAGGGTCCCTGTGGCAGAGCCAGCCTTGGGCTAGAGACCCCTGGGAGTCCTGGTGACTCCCAGAGTGTTTTTCAGGGCATAGTTATTTATTATTTCCTCAGCACACACATGTGAAAGATAGGACAATGTCACTAGCCTTCTTTTTACACAGGAGAAAAGCCCACTGGGATGTGCAATGAAGATTCGTCTCTGAGAGGTCCTCAAATCTTGATTTTCTGATCCCAGTCGGAGTCCCTCATGCATTTTTTTAAAGCCCATTTAAACATGTTCCCAGCCAGGTATGGTGGTGCACACTTGTAATCCCAGCTACAAGGGAGGTTGAGGTAGGATTGCAACTTCACAAAGCCAGTTTGGGCAATTTAGAGCCACTCTCAAAATTTAAAAGGCTAGGGGAAGTGGGGAGTTAGCTCAGCGGCACAGCGCCTGCCTAGCAAGCACGAGATCGTGAGTTCAATTCCCGGTACCAGAGAAAAACCAAAAACAAACAAAAAAGTAAATAAATAAAAGGCTGGGGATGTAGCTCAGAGCTTGTTAGATTCATTCCTAGTACCACACAGTAAATAGATAACTAAAAATGAACTCCCTCCCAAAATGTAGCCCACATGTGCTGCCCGATCCAGAAGGGCAGTTTATGAAGCAGAGTCCGTGCTCACTCCGTGAGTCTTTGCCTAGTCTCCCCCTCCTGTTTCAGTCCTAGGCCTCCCACCTACCACACCACAGAGATTGCTTTGTGTTTTGTTTGTTTTCTGTAATGTGAAATAATAACATGTTTGTTTTTGCACTGTATAAATGAAGAGCATGAGTTCGGGAGCCAGAGTTGTAAATCCTGGCCCCTCCCACATTAGCTCTACAACTCTGGGCAAATTGTTTCATTTGTCTGAACATTGCTCAGCACATGTGTAAATGAGGGCCACAAACGGACCCAGGGGTGCCCATGAGGATGGGGTGGCATAATGCACGCCAGGTTTCTGATTTGAAGGAGACTGCTTAAATGTTGGAGATTTGTTGGGGGGCATCCTGTGTGGCCGGACTTGGCTGATGGCCACAGATCCCTGGACTAAGAGGATGCTCCAGTGCATGGCTGGCCCAGTCCTCACATGCATGGCTTCTGGGACCCAGCTAACTGCAGAGCCACGGGGAATGGTCACAGCTGCGGGGAGGGACTTATGGGGGACCTTGGAACCTCTGTTTTCCTTGTTGTCATGGCTTTGGGTTCCCTGATCTAGAATGATACAGGTGGATGGGATCTTGGAGCCCATTTGATTCGACCACTCCTTCCCTGTTTCGTTTATCCAGCTGGGCAGCGTCCAGCAGGTCAGCCGGCATTGCGAGCCAGGTGCTGGCCAGGCTCTGGATAAATCCATGGCTGAGACTCTGAGCTGAAGTACTGGCCCAGGTCACCTGCTCCTTAGTGCCTGAGCTAGTCTGGGCCCCCTTAGCCCCAGCCCAAGTGTCTCCTACACCTCAGGGCTCAGCTGCACCCCTTCAAATGTCCAGGTGCTAGCACTTCGTTTCTTAGACCCTGAGGTCCTTTGCTTCACCGACTGTAGCACTGGGAAGGGGTCACTGCTCCTCACAGGACCTGAGTCCCAGCCATGCCAGCCCAGCCAAGGACTGGGGTGAAGAAACACCAGCTACAGTTACCTTCCTCATTCCTGTTACTTGGATCCAACTTCTGGGGGGAGAAGCTCCCGCATAGATATATTTGCCAAATTCAAGGATCCCCCACTGCCTGCTTTTACTTCCACTCACTGATAGATTCAACCTGATTTCAAGGACCTTCCAAGTTTCTTTTTGAAAAAAGACTGAAAATGGGAATACAGAATGGTCTTTTTTTTTAAAGTTTCTCTTTCAGGACTGAGAACACATTTGCGTTCATGTACACCAGCCAAAACTAATAACTCTTATAATAATAGTTTAGAATAGCCCGAAATGTCAACCCTTACACACTTCAGTTAGGCGTTTTATCCACATCACCACACTGTGTATTTTAAGAACCCATTTTATTTAAGATGAAGATGGCGTGAAATGAAAACCAAACAGAAGGCTGAAGGGCGGGCAGGGTTCTGCTGTTGAGGGTCCCTCGATCCCGCCCCCAGAGCCCTTAAAGCAGTTTGGCTTTCAATGTGTCTTTCAGCAAAATGATGCTTCAACACCCAGGACAGGTGTCTGCCTCGGAAGTCAGCGCCTCCGCCATCGTCCCCTGTCTGTCCCCTCCCGGCTCACTGGTGTTTGAGGATTTTGCTAACCTGACACCCTTTGTCAAGGAAGAGCTGAGGTTTGCCATCCAGAACAAGCACCTCTGCCATCGGATGTCCTCTGCGCTGGAGTCGGTCACCGTCAGCGACAGACCCCTCGAGATGTCCGTCATGAAGGCCGAGGTGGGTTCCGTGTCATGTGTTCACTCTTTCTGCCTGGGGGCATTGCACACTTGTCACATGCTGGGCTGCGAATAAAACAGATGAAAGCGCCCCCCATCCCTTCTATGGTCTTGGCCTGCAGAGAGTAACGGCCTTGCACCCGAGGAGAGAGATGCAAAGGAGAAAGCAGGGAGGGGCTGGGGGAAATGGTAGGAGCGGGGGTTTACCGTTTTACACTGGGGAGCCTTCGCTGAGGGTGGCCTCTGAGCAGGGACTCTGAAAAGAGGGAGAGAGCCATGTGACAAAGGACGGTCAGGACCCCGAGGCTGGGGTGTGGGTGCAAGTGGGTCTAGGCAGGTTGTGTTGGGTCAGGTGCGGGGTCAAGAGGGGCCGTGCAGGTGCTGAGAAGTAGATGCTTCTGGATCTCACTCGCAGGTCAAGCTGCTTTCCGAAGAGCCTGGATGTAGGGTGTGGGAGAAAGAGCGGACCCAAGGGTGACTGAGTGTTCTGGCGCACAGCGCTGCAGGGACGGAGTGTCTGCTTGGTGCCGAGACGGCTGTGCTGTTCTAACCCCATGGGGGTGTCCAGTAGGCAGCTGCATACAGGGCCTGGAGCGCAGCACAGGGTCAGGGCGAGAGATCCAGACTGGAAGCCATCCCCACAAGGATGAACTTTCTGTGCTGAGCTTCCTGGAGGAGCATGGAGTATAGTGATTTTTTTTTTTTTTTCATTATGGCCAGGACCTTGGGGACCAGGCAGCCAGTCCTACCCTTCCCTGCAGCAAGGCTCGCAGCCTTGGTACCCAGCGTCACATCTGTCTCAGGCACTTGTTCTGCACTTGGCAGCCTTTCGTAAGACACCGGCCACGACAGACATAGTGGGAAGTTTGAGGAGTGGCTGCTCGTGATGCCACAGTGACTCCAGGATGTCACAGCCAAGATCTTGAGTGTCACTGGCCTTTCTGTCGTGGTCGGAAGACAGGGATATTTCAAGCTTACTTAACGGGCATTACTGCAGCCTTTGGGCGAGAGATAGTAGAACTGACCCAAAGGTAGTGAATTTATTTATTTTTTTCCCCAAAGGTAGTGAATTTAAAAGAAAGTTGGGGGTAAGAGTGTGGTCAGCAGTAGAATGCTTGCCTAGCATGTGCCTGGCACCACGCAAAAAGGAAGTGGGTTGATAATCTCTATGATTCTTTACTCCTCCCGTGACTGATCTGAGGGTGAAGTGAGATGACATTTGTTAATGATCCAGCAGGGGGCCTGGTATTCAATAAATGGGAGCTGGAACTCTATGATGCTATGGCCATTGGCATCATTAAGGGCGTTACCTGTGCCCCAAATTAATCTCAGAGGAGGTCACAGATAGGCCCACACAATGTTTACCAGTTCCCAGTCCAGCACTGGACAGTGCAGGGTGGACCATGGGACACTCTTGGAAATTTCTTTCCTGATTAAATCCTTTGAGATAACAAGATACCCTGGAAAGAAGGGAGGGACAGGAGAGGAAAGGAAAAGAAAGAGCATTTAGAAGCGTTCTCCAGAGGAACAAGCAGGCAGAAACACCCTGGAAAGCCACAAAACTTGCCTGTTCTGATTCTGTGTTTGCCAAGTGACTTTCTGACTTAAGTCAGTGTCACAGAGTTATCTACTGGGAAGAAAGTGGACCAGCAGACCTAGTTGAATATCTGATCCCCTTGGTAGCCTGATTCTCATCTTCAAAAGAGACCCTGAGCCTCAGAGAGCCAAAGGCATTGTGTGCGTCTGGGCAGCTGGAGCCCGCTTCCCAGATTCCAGTCCCCTTGGGAAGGTGACTTGGTGGAACAAAAGCAGCTGAGGCTGGAGACAGTGCGGGGTGGGAACAAACACCTGGCTTTCCACCCCGGGTTTGTAGCCGCCTATTCTGATGACAGTGCACCGGTGATTCTTGGGGCTTCCCTGGGCACGGTTCAACTCTGCGCACCCTCTTTTGTCGGTACTGTGAGGGAACTGAACAACATGGTCTGTAGAAAGCCTTTTCCATCCGAACAGTGTGTGACTCTGAGATCTTCTCTGTCTTCGGAGCGGAATCCTTCCCCACCCATCCAGAATATCTGTAGAGTTGCAAAGGAAATGCAAGAGTGTTGAGTTCTTCAGAAAGATAGCGATGGTGTGGTTAATAGTAGTAGCTAAAGTTTATGCGGTATACAGTATGAGCTAAATCCCATTAAAGCATTTCACATATATTAACTTGTTTGATCCTCATAGCAACCATGGAGATAGGTGGTGTTATTCATCCCCTTTTTACAAAGGAGGAAACGGAGGCTCAGAAGAGTGAGGTGCCCATAGTTTTACAGTGAGTAAGTGTTGATACTGGAGAAGTTTAGCCTAAAGCCTAAACATGTCCCTATATTATTTTGAGATCTAAGATGGGAAAGGTAGAAATTCTCCTTCCCCCATTTCTCCCTCGGGCTTTGCCTCTCTGATTACAAGGTCTCCACCTCAGTCCAGGCAGAGCCAGTGTCATCTAATACAGAGAAATAGTTAAAGAATGACATGAGGTGATTATGGAATCCCAGCAGCTTCTGGAATCCCACACATTTCCCTCTTGTCAAGAGCAGGGACAAGTGATGCGACAGGGTCTGACACTGGCAGCCTAAACTGTCAGGTGATCAGCTCACCAAGAGCGCTTCACTCCAGCTCGACTTTGGTCTCTAAGCCAAGTCCAGTGGTCAGATGCCATTTCCTCCTCAGTCTAGACAAAACCAGGGATCGCCACAGGAGCTGGACAGGATTTTGTTCTCCCAGGAGCCTCCGGCTGCCTCGGGGTGAGGCACAGGCCTGGAGATCGGTATTGATTTATTGGCTCAGTCAGGGGATGCTTGTAGTTCCCCACCCACATGCAGCACCCAGCCATGGCTGATTAAGCCTCTTTGATTGGAATAGATCAAGTCCCTCTTCAACAGGAGCTCCATGGGCATCTCCTAAATTCAGGAAGTTGGCGCCACTATGCCTCACGTGAACACAGAGATGAATGGAGTCGCCCTTGGACCTTGGATCAAAGAAGAGGCAGGCGGAGAGGGTGGCCACATGATGTCTTGAGATCACTCCACATTTAGGGGAAGGGACATATTTAGCAGAGTCTGTTTCCTGTTCTAAATGATTATAGTTGGTCCTAATAATTATCAATATCCAAAGTCCAAATCCATTTCTAGACTTGGGTCAGATTTTACTTTACTGATATTGCCAGTATAATCTTGTTTTCACGGTTGGTTTTCATTACTTATTCTCAAGTGCATGCCTGTGTTGAGGTGTTTTGGGTAAAAGTCTAGGGGTTTGGTTTCCTGGGCCTCTTAGCATTAAGGCCGCCCCACTTTGCCAGATTTTGCTGGCAGTAAAGGACAGTGTATTTTGAAGCGGGTGTCATTTCACGGTAGCATTAAATGTGAGCCTTTTGGATTTTATAGGTAGCCCCTGAAGAAGATGAAAGGAAAAAGAGGAGACGGGAAAGAAATAAGATTGCAGCCGCCAAGTGCCGAAACAAGAAAAAGGAGAAGACAGAGTGCCTGCAGAAGGTGAGTGCTCCCCAGCGCCCCCTCATTCCTGTCCCCCACCAGCCCCGTGTCGCTATCAGAAGGGGAGCTACCAAGCCCCTACCGGTTGTATTTTCCTGCAAAGGGCCTTGTAATTGGTAGCAGAAATGCCAGTTGCAGAATGAGGAGGGAGCCACGCTGTTAGCACAGTGGATGGGACTTCTGGGTGTAGGAAAAGCAGGTGTGTGAAAGAAAATCATTTGACAGCCAGACTCCCAGCAGCCTTGGCTGGTCTGCACACATCCGGCAGCCTCCAGGCCAGTGCGGTTGAAGGGGTTTCACCTGCCCGTTTTCCCAGAAGGAAACTGCCAGCTCTCATTTGGCTCAGTATGGAAAACCTTTCATTAATCTCCTCAAACAAATTATTTCCTGGATGTGAAAGCAGTGATTTTCTTTGGGCTCCTGTCTTCTGCCTCACACAGCGGGTGAGCCCTGGATCCTTGGGGAACTCCAGGGGGGCAGCCGTGTGGGCCTTGGAGCCCAGTGTCTTGCTAAGGGCCACGTTGCTTGCCCAGCGTGGACAGGCCAGAGTGCAGTGCCAACCCAGGTGCCACAGGGCTCTGCGACCCCTGCTGACTGCTTCAGTGGGTCCCTAGAAATGAGGCAATTTGTGCAGTGCTGAGTCCTTTTTTTCTGGGAAGGTAGGGTCGGTGAGATCAGTGATTCCCCAAAGACTATGAGTCTGGATTTATCCCCAGCCTTTTGGGTCTTGGTGTCCTGCATGTAGGCTGTTGGACCCAAGCAGAGCTCTCTGAACTGTTGATCCTACTCCTGTTTTGGCCCTGGTCCCATCAGAGCCTCCTCGGTGGCATCTCCAGAGCTTCTCTGAAGAGCCCCCCGCCCCCCCCGGGTTCAAAGGCTTCTCCATGTCTGCACACGTCGCTCCCGAGTGCTGCATTCTCCTCTTTATGGGGACATCATTCCTTCTGCAGGTGTCCCCCAGCTTGGGGGGCTCCAAGGTGGCTACCCCCTCATGCCTTTGCCGCTTGTCCCTCAGGAGTCGGAGAAGCTGGAGAGTGTGAATGCCGAGCTGAAGGCGCAGATTGAGGAGCTGAAGAATGAGAAGCAGCATTTGATATATATGCTCAACCTGCACCGGCCCACGTGTATTGTCCGAGCTCAGAATGGGCGGACTCCGGAAGATGAGAGAAACTTGTTTATCCAACAGATAAAAGAAGGAACACTGCAGAGCTAAGCAGCCGTGATGCGAGGGCAACCGGGGAGTCCTCATCGAGTCCTCTTTTTCCACCCAGAACCCTGAAACCATCGGAAAGCTGACTTCCTGTGCACCTCTAGAATCCCAGCAGCCAAGAACCATCGCGGCGGGAGGGCCCATGGCAGCTCCGCTGGGCCTCCCCTCTTTGGACCAGGGCAAGAGCATCCTTTGCCTCAACTCCAGGATTTAGGTCTTAATATCCTGGCCATTCTTTGATGTCCAGATGGCCCCTGGTTAGGGTCCTGCACATCCGTTAGGATTCACGCAGACATATCTGTACCTCGGGTGGGCGGGGTGGGGCCATCTCCTCCGCAGCAGCTGCCTCGCTCGTGGGGCACATGGAGCGAGAGCGACACACATCGAAGTTGTGCGATGGCCAGGGCTGTGCTTTCTAGCAGATACGCTGTTGTGTTCTAGAATTACTGTGTGCGAGGCATTCGTTCCAAAACTAGGCGTTGTGCTCTTCTGATGTCTGTTTCACACAACCCTGGCGCAACCTTTCTGTGATAATCCTCAGACTGGCGTCTGAGAGTCTGGGGTCTGTCGCCTTGGGCAGTGTCTCACGAGAGTGTTCAGGTGGCCGGAAGAGCTTGGCGGCCCCAGAGAACAGAACCGTCCTGCGGGCCAGGAGTGTGAGGGCTCCTTTCCCCAGCACCCAGGCCGTAAGCAGCAATCAGGAGCATGGCCGAAGGTCCTGTGGCAAACTCAGTTTCAGTGTCATAGGAAGAAAACAGAAAGAAAGTCCAACTTGAAGAGCTGAGGACTCTCCACTCGGGCCAGGAGTTATTTCTAGGCCAGAAGAGCCAAAGACTATTCCGTTCTCCTTTCCTGGTGGTCAGAAGCCAGTCATTGGAGACATGCGTTGGAAGCCAGTGATGGCGAGGCTTTAGCATTGCTGGACGTTCATGCGTCGTTCTTGTCATGGAGCTGTGTTAAGAAATCCGGCCCAGAGCATCTGCAGCTGTGAGCAGTCACTCACTCGCACTGGCCACAGGACTCTGGCTACTGTCTGTTAAAATTCTGATGTTTCTGTGAAATCCTCAGAGTGTTTAATGCTACTCAATAGTATCATTACAATTTTCTGTAAGAGAAAATATTATTTATCCTAGTATTCCTGTCAGTGTAATAAATATTGGAACCAAGACATGGTAAATGCAAAGATTGCACTGGCTTCTGTTTTTCTAAATCGGTGGGTGGGGGAAACCTAGTCACTCCCCACCTGTCCCCTTTCCACACTGAGGGTGATCAGCTTTGAATATCTTGGGGGGTCAGCCTTTGTTTCTTGGGGCACCACCAGGTGAGATCATTAACCTTCAGTTCTTTTCCTCAGCCAGTGACACCTAAGGCTCAATTTCTGACTAACAAACCCTGAAACACAGCACCAAGTACATCCTTTAGGTTAGCTGTTTGGTGCTAAGATGCAAAATCTGAATTGCTGAATATTGCAATTATCAGTTTCCCTGAAGGTACAAATCCCTGAAGCACCTGTTGTGCAATTCAGACCCAGATGCCTCCCTTTCTGGCACAGTGCTGCTCTGAAGGAGTCATCTGCTTGGATTACAGGTGCTGTGACATCCACATGTGTGTCTCGTTGTTGCAGATGGATCTTGGATATCACAAAAGAATGGGAAGGGAGGGGGTCAGGAGGAAGAGAAAAGCAACTGAGGCAAGGTGGATGTGGTAGTTCCAAAAAGGCATTCTGTTTAGTTTTCTGGACTTCCCAGGCCAAGTGAACCCTTAGGTCTGGAACAGAAGCAGAATCCCATGCTCTCTACCTGGGCCCACGTATACCACTCCCAGGCCAGAGAGGAAAGCTGACCACTCTGCTCCTTTCACTATCTGTTCTGCAGACACTGACTTCCTTAAACACAACATTCATCTGCCTCAGCGGTGTGCCTGCTTCTTCGAACTCATGAATAGTTCCTTTAAATGATCAGGTATGAGGCAGGCTTACTAATTTTGCTGCTTTAGTTGTACATCAGGGGTTGTTCATCATTTATAAAGAGTCACCGGATGTTAGCACCATTCACCATCTTTCATTATGTAATTTGTGTTCCTTATCTTGGTGGAGGCGAAAGTCCCCTTCTGGCAGTTAAACTTTGATTATGTCAACTTGATTGGCTTGGGAGCCACCCAGGGGGTTAGTAAAGCTCACTTCCTGGTGTGTCTGGGTGGGTCATGAAGGTGTGAAATGAGGGACTCTATCTGACCCCTGGCCCCTGCCTCCCTGGCACTGTTCCCCTACTCTGCTGCCCCACTGCCGTGCACTGAACATCTTTGTTCTGCCACTCCCTTCCGCCATGACATTTCTCCCTTAAAGCCAGTCAGCCATGGACTAAATCCCTGGAAACCAGGAACCAAAGTACACTTCTCCTTTAAATTGTGGGTGTTAGGTATTGTGTCTCCATGACAGGAAGGCTGATGCACCCTGCGTTAACTCTCTGGTCATGGGTAGAGTGGCACTGCCAGCCGCTATGAGACTCAGGACCATTGTAAACTGCCATGGACAGCAGAGGATTAGAGGGGAATGGAGAGCTGGTAATGGCGAGAACTGACCTGACAATTGCACTGCGTGGTTAATGTGACCATAAATTCTTTTAACAAATGCATTCAAATTAGTTGTTATATGTATCCCAGTTTATGTTTTGATACTTTAATAAAGAAAAGATGAATGTGCCTTTACCGTCAAGACACTTGGTTCATCTTATTTCACACCTGAAGGAGAAGGGCAGTTGAGGAGGGTGGGGGGGAGTCCACGAGTGTAAATGCAGATGCAGGTGCCACCAGAATAACTAAACACCTGGGTAACAATGACGGCCTTCAGCTGCCTCCTGTGATGACATCACACTGGCAGGGCCTAGAAAGCCACCCACCCCTTCTCTGAACCGTGCCCTGAGATTTGTCCTGTCACCTGTTTCAGAATAGAGTTTGAAAGGCTCAGGATGGAGGCTCTGGAATCAAGTCGTTCCTGTCAAGAAGTAAAATGGTAACCATTTCCCGACTGGATCCATACCTCTTCCCATGATCTTTGAATAAACCCTCAACACCTAAACCCACATCAAACTCCTCTTTTCCCCACCCCACACTCCTGAAAAGAGGCCTGGGCAGTGCACTGAGCATCCTTCTCCGTCTCATGGTGCCACTGATTCTGGAAGCTCTTCCAGGTCTCTTATGAAAAGCTGCACTCAGGAAAAATTCCCGCAAAGCACTGCTGAGAACTAATAGTAGCTCATGTTTATCAAATAGGCAATATGCTAGCACTTTATACACATCATCCTGTATGTTCATTAGCTGTCACTATAGCAAAATACCCGAGGAAATCAGCATACAGGAGGAAAGGTTTATTCTGGCTCTGGGTTTTGGAGGTTCCAGTCAGTGGTTGATTGAACTCACGGCTTTGACTGTGGGGAGGTGGCACATTGTGGTAGTGCTGTGCAGCGGAGCAAAAACACTCACGTCATAGCCAGGAAGCAGGAGAAGAGAAGAGGAAGGGGTCAGAGTCCCACAGTCTCCCTCCAGGGCACCCCCCAGTAACCTAAGCGCCTCCTGCAGGGTGCCACCTCCCAAGCCAGCCCCCGCCTCCTAACAGCCCCATGCTGGGGACTAAGCCATGACACAGGGGCTTTCAGGAGACCTCCAGATCCAAAGGGTGGCGTCCCATTAGGTGCTCACCACAGCTGTTGTCCCCATCCTACAGAAGAGCAGCAGCCTGCTTGGGGTCACATAGTTGAACTTTCTAAGACAGAAACCTGGTTTTTTTTAACCATAACGGTTCCAAGCAGCCCCTGAGCAGTCACCCCATTTCCTCCCCTTCCAACCCTTGGCTGTCCTGGGCATATCATAGACATGGAACTGTACAATCTGTGACCTTCTGTGTTTGGCTTCTTTCTCTTAGCATGCTCTTAAGGTGCATCCACATGGAAGCACACACCAGCGCTCTTCCCCTGTTTACAGATGAATAATGCATTGAACGAATACTCTACAGCTTGTCTATCTGTCCATCCATGGACACAGAGAGAGCCTTTGTCCTGAAGCAGCAAATGAGGTGGGACTTCCGGTAAACAATCACCAGGGAGAGAAGAGTAGGGATCGGGTCTTTCTTGGAGCTTCCAGGAACAGTTTGGAAGTCATTATTCTGTGGTTCACTGTGTAGAATGGCAACTAGGCAGCAGGCAGAATGGCGCGTGCTCCTGCCGATGTAAATGGTTCCAAACCACTGCTTCATGGCAGGAAAGTTCGTACCTGAGGGCGTTAGACAGGCTCCTGGAATTTAAACTTATGTGTCTAGTCCTGCCCCCTCACTCCAGCATTTTACTGAGTAGCAGATGAGAAAACAGAAAGAAAAAATTGGGGCTTTCAGAGAATAGCTGGGCTCCTACGTGCTGGGCATAAATGGAGGAGCGGAACTGAGGGGGCCCGCTGAGTAATTTAGTCCTGAACTCAAAGTCTGAAGTTGCCCTGCGTTCTCCACCACACACACACACACACACACACACACACACACACACACACACACAGAGTTTGTTATGCAACTTCTTATAATGCACCAAACTTGTCTCTGTGGCAGTTAAATCAGTCCTCTTTGAAAACATTTAACCGGCCCAAGCTCTTTGCAGGATAGAGTTCTGCGGCAGTCTAGTACAGAGGTTTTGGAATCAGCTGGACCTAGATTTGCAGAACAACATCACTTTGTGAGTGCACGTAAGTGATACAGCCTCAGTGTCTTTACTTGTAAGATGAGAACAGTAACAACAGTACCAAATTCAGTGGGTTGACAATAACATGCAAAGCAGATTGTACAGTGCATAGGAACAGCAAACTTTAATTATTAACTTAAATATTAATTAGTGAAGGTCAGAGTTATTACCAAAGCTCATCATCATCAAGAATTGCTGCGATCCATGTAAGGATAGGCTAATGAGCAAGACCACCAATTCCAGGTTATTTCATAACATTCAGCCAGGATGGCTGAAATCTACCTCATCATCTTACATATTTTGTACTTTGTCTAGTTGTTGTTTTTTTTTTTTTTTGTACTAGGAGTTGAACTCAGACTTTTACACTGAGCTACACACTGGCCTTTTCAAAGAAAAATGTTTTATTTTGAGACAAGTTCTTGCTAAGTCACTAAATTGCCCAGCCTAGGCTCAAACTTGTGATCCTCCTGCCCCAGCCTCCCAGAGTACTGGGATTATAGGAATGTGCCAACATTCCTAGCTAGTTGTTGAATCAAATTTAGAAGGAGCAGGGAAACGTTTGTACAAAAATTTCCCATTTGAAAAAAAAACCCCACATATTTTCCCGCCTACCTAAGTCCCTGCTAGGGTGGTCCTGTCCTCTGTGGAGGCAAGCAGAGCATGGGAACAAAGGCGTGTGTGACAGTGACAGGTCACAAAGGCAGCAGAGGATAAATACCGCCGTGCAGGGCTGGGGGCCAAGAGGATGGCCCGGTCTCCCACTGCAGTCTGTGGACTCCTGGAGAGAGAAACAATATCACGGGTGGAGGTGAGGGGTTCAGACCCAGAAGCAAACCTCCCCGGGGCCCCGCACACGCTGCGCCTTTGAAGAGAATCCATCCGAGGTCCAGACACCCTCTGGTAGCCCTGGTCAATGGTCCCTGCTTCCACGCCCGTCCTGGCCTTGGGAGGCTCTGAGGCTCTGAGGGGCCTGCGGGCTGGGGTGGGGCAGAGAAGCCAGCTGTAGTGACACCCTCGGAACCCAGGAACACCAGGGATTCCTTATCTGCCAAGGACACCAAGGCAGAGCGGAAGACACAAGGACCTGCCTGTCCGGCGGCCCTGTCATGACAAGATGGTTACAAACAGTGAGTCTCTGTTACCCTACTACACGGCCCAGAGTGGCTCTGGGACCGGCATGTTCAACACCACCATGGGGAAGCTGCAGCGGCATCTGCACAAGGGCGAGTACGACATGTTCAAGTACGCCCCGATATTCGAGAGCGACTTCATCCAGATCACCAAGCGGGGAGAGGTGATCGATGTGCACAACCGCGTGCGCTTGGTGACCGTAGGCATCGCCTGCACCAGCCCCACCCTCCTGATCCCCGACGTCATGCTCCTGGCCCGGCCGGCCACCAACTGTGAGGAGTTCGAGGGGCTCCGTCAGGCCCCCAAGGGGAAGGGCCGCAAGACCACAAGGCCCTTGGAGCTCACCAGGCTTCTCCCCTTGAAGTTGGTAAGGCTCTCCGTTCACAACCGTGAGAAACAGCAGCTGCGCCTGAAGTTCGCCACGGGCCGGTCTTGCTACCTGCAGCTATGTCCTCCCCTTAACGCATGCGAGGACCTCTTCCTCTACTGGGAGAAACTGATTTACCTCCTACGGCCGCCTGTGGACAGTAACAGCAGCACCTATGCCACCCCCGCCGAGGACATACTGTGCATGCCTGCGCTGGCCGATGAGGACGGGACAAGCCTGGCCACCCCGGACTCCCAAAGCAAAGGTGACCAGGACCAGGTCAGCATCCGGAGTCTCCATGCGGCCCCTGAGATGACAAGGGCTGCCTCTGCTGCTTACGCTGGTGGGGAGGGAGTCCAGCCTGCCTCTCACAAATCCATGGCTACACCCAAAGTATCCACCTCAAAAACAAGATTCGCGGAGTTCACCAAAGGGTCAGCACTAGGGACAAAAACAGAAGCAGTGGCAGGTGGGGCGACAGCGGCAGCAGGGACGGTAGCGGCAGCAGGGATGACATCAGGCACCTTGAGTGTGGCTGCAACCAAGTCAGGCTCCGGACAGGTGAACGCAGCCTTGGCAGGGGCGGCTTCCATAAGGGAAGGAGGAAGCAAAATCCCTAAGGCAGGCGCTGGCAAGACACCCTCCAAAAGCCTGAGTGTTGCCTTAGCAGGTGCTGTGAGCCAATTCTCAGAGCCTGGGTCCCCCCGCTTCTCCCCAGAGGGCAGCATGAGCGCCGCATTTGCAGGAGGAGAAGCCACCATCAAAGATGCTGGGAAAGCACCCAGCACCCCAGCCCGGAGTAAAAGTCCCGTCGGTGCAGAGGCCAGACAGCAGGGCGTTCCCCTGGCCACAGAGGCTGCCCTCAAGGAACGACGGGAAAGAAAGGAGAGGAGAGAGAAGGACCGAGCCAGCAGTAAGGGTTCCTATCGCCACAGGACGCGTGAAGGTCCCCGCAAGACATCAAGGGACAAGATGGCCCGAAAGTCATCCAGTCGGTCCTTATCTGGCCACAGAACACACAGAGCCAATAAAAAGGAAAAAGGTAGCCACCGCAGTGCCAGGGGCAGCAGGCACAGCCGCGCCCCCAAAGACATCGGCCGCACCACCACTGAGAAGGAGTCCAGGACCTCGCACAAATCCGGGAGGAGCAGCTTTTCTGCCATGAGCTCAGGTTCCTCACCCAAGAGACTCAGCAGGATCAGCTCTTTCCTGAGGAACGTCAGGGCCAACCTCAGCACAAAGAGGGTAGTCTCACCGCGTGGTGACAGTGTGGATGTGGTGGCCAAGAGAGTGGAGAAGACCAACTTGGAGGCCATCGTGGAGACGGCAGAGAGTGGGCAGGGAGTGGAGATCATTGGTTCTGTGACATCCGAGGCCATGGAGGGGGCGAGCCTGGAAGCCCATTAAACAGCACCCAGAGCCGGAAGCCCCAAAGGGCCCCAACAAGCACCCCAAGAGAGCCTATTCTAGCTTTCTTTACTCCAGGTGAAATAAAGAACTATTCAACCTGAGAATGGTTTGCCACGGTCTGTCTGAGCGTCCGTGTCCATCAGCTCAGTGGTGACCTCACAGAGGATTCTGTGACGTCAGCTGCGCTACAGGCTGACACCCCTGGACCCAGTCAAGGGGATCCCCTCACACTACTCAGCAGAGCTGATGTGACCCCTCCCTCTTGCCTGGAGCCTTCTTGGCTTTGGTGACCCTGAACTACGGGCGGGAAGCATTGTTCTTTCTACCCCCGTGGTTCTCTACCCTGTTGATAAACTTTCCTGGAGAATAGGGCCATTTGGGGGACAGGGAAGGGGAGCAGCAGCATTGCTGGCGATGAGAACTGTCTGAGGCACTCCACACCTCGCCATATGCCCTGGAGAAACACACACATATCCCAGGAGATGGGTGTGAGAATATTTATAGCAAAATAACTTAGCAGCAAAACATGGGACAGACCAAGTTCCCACTCAGAGCTGACATTACAGTGGGGTGCGGAGCAGGATACAGCGACAAACGAGGGGCAGTGCAATGAAAATATATATCGCACGGGATATAATTCCACATGGTCAAATAACATGTTGCATACATGTTTGGTAAACCTGGAGTCAAAAACCAGGGTGTGGCAAACACTCGGTTCAGCTCGGTGGCTTTCTCTAGGGTGGAGAGGCCAGCAGTGGGCGCAAGGAGGTGGCAGCAGGACTCCTGGTAGTGTTGGGAATTCATTTCTTAAGCAGGAGGTGCGGTCCAGGGGTGGTTACTGTCTCCCTGTTGCACATTCTCACGTCGCTGGAATCAGCGTGGCGTGCCCCTGCCGTCCCCCTGACAGAGGAGACGAGCTTGCCGTTGCCCCTTTCCCTCCTGCGTGTGCACAAAGCGACACGGAAGCCTGGACGAGAAGGCGCAGTAGCTATTAGCAGAGGAAGGGACGGCCTCCCCGTTTTCCAGATGAGGACACTAAGACGGTGGCTTGCCCTGTCGCCTGTGGGACCTCTGCAGAACAGCGTCACAGCGTCGTGCAGCCAGTTTCTTTTCCCAGGATCTGAGGCTTGCGGAGGAGGCACAGTGTACAAATGCAGAGGGACAGGGCCGCAAGGAACCTAAATCTCTCCAGAGCCAGAATGTACTGAATTAAGATCAGGGAAAGATGGGGCAGGGAGACTCCTGAGCCACAGGCAGCCGACTCCAAGTCTGGGGAGCCCTCCTGGCCTGACCTGGGGAGCGGCCAGCTGTGCCTGCCCCCAGCCTCCCTCCAGCTGTCAGCAGACCTCCTGCAGGAATTCCAGGCAGAGCCAGCCCGCCGGCAGGCCGCTCCTGACTCCAGTGCCCCATCCTTCCCAGCCACTGATTACACTCTGGAAAAAGTCAGGACTGGAAGCCTGTCCTTCTCCGTGCCAAATCTTATTTTTGTTGTTTTGTTTTGGTTTTTGGATTTCAGGAATCAAACTGAGAACCTTGTGCTTGCCAGGCAGGCGCTTGTGCCACTGAGCTATATCCCCGGCCCTCTCCATGCAAATCTCCAGGAACTTTCTTCTGGCAATCTCCAAAACAAATCAGCCTCATGAGAAGGAGGTATAAGTTCGGTATAGCTTCCTTCCAGCTGTGGCCACTGTGCTTATTTTATTCCTAAAGGTGCTGGGGAGAGGAGCCGCAGACTTCACAGGTGGGTGAGGAGAGGGCTCCTCTGTCTTCTGAGGGCATGGCAGGCACGAGATGGGCGCCCTGTCCAGAAAGTACAAGAGCCCAAGAGCTGCCTACATCCGCGGTCTCCTCCCATAAAACAAAGTTCTTGACCCCAGGATGAAGAATTACTGGAGTGAGTCAAGTTTTTCTTAAGAAAGGAGGGAATATGCCAGAGATTAGATACAAATCAGCCCTGGGAGGAAAACAAGCTCACAATCATTAACCCAGAGCTCCAGAGCAAGGAGGTGGGGCGGGAGAGGTTGTCAAGGAGATGAATTAATAGTTTACTCCTGACTACCTTTTCCTTTGGCTGGAAAGGTGGGGAACTTACAAAAGGATCATACTGCATTCCTCCAATCTGGGATTTCCACACAGGCAAGTATAGGTAAATATCAGTCTGGAAAAGGATAATGCAATAAAAGCATTACCATAGCACTTAGTCACCCGTAAAGCTCTTTAAGGTACCTGCCCTCCTCCAAGGCACACGTCTCTCCATTTAGCTGATAAGCAAACTGGGGTTCCTCACATGGAAGGGACTTGCTCCAGGTGCAGGGGACCACTCCAGCATACCCCTTTCATGTGGCACCCGCTGTGTGGTGGCCCTGGGTCCCCCACAGTCCTACAGAGCCAGTGGAGGAGAAGGGGTAGGGGTGCCGGGCAGTATTACATGCTGGGGGACAGTCCCAAGGAGGTATGTGGGCTGGAAGAGGAGCCGTGCACAGGAGTGGTTCCCGGGAGTGGGAGGGAGTTGGGGTCAGGAAAGGCTTCACAGAGGAACTGGCAGTTTGGAAGAATGAATAGGGCAATAGGGAGCGAGGGTAAGGCTACAGGAGGTGCCCAGAGAGGGTGGGGAGAGAGGATCAGACTGTGCAGAAGAATGCGTCTGAAGGACACAGGCTTTGAAATGTCCCAGTGCATTGGGACAACTGCAAGTGTGAGGTGTGATCAAACTACGTGGTGAGGGTTTAAAATATTTATGATAGTAGAAGATACATTGCCATTAATCCTCCTCCAAGGACTGCCCCTTGCTTGGAATACATTTTTCCTGTGGTTCCCGCCACTTTCTGAAGCAGTTCTGGAAGTCCTCTTTCCTGAGTGTGTTTACAAGATGTGATCAAAACTACACCGGGTGCTGCTTCCCAGGGACAGCCAGCAGGAAGGCAGGCTCGTAAACCCATGACGGCGTGCTCTCCAGAACTTGATTCGCCGCATCTGGAGCTGTGTGATTTCTGACTCTTCCCCAAAGTCAAAATGAGCATGAGAAGGAAATGTCTGGAACCAATAAGAACACGAAAGAACAATTCCAGGACTGCTTTAGAGGGTGGCGAGACCCCTGGGGTTAGTGTGTTTCGGGGAGGGCAGAATTTGGAGGGAGATTCTGGCAATGTGTCTTTTTTTTTTTTTGTACTTGGAACTGAATTCAGGACCTTGTGCTTGCCAGGCAGGCGCTGTGCCACTGAGCTGTAGATCCCTGGCCCTTAATGTGTCTTTTATTGAAATACGTTTTTTAAAAAGTTAAATATTGGCTGTATTTTTGGCCCCACCCTGCAGTTCAGCCTTGATGGCTGGAGGGCCAGGAGGGAGAGGAGGTGGAGGATCAGCCATGGCTCTGGGGGGCCCGAGGGGCCTTGTGACTGTCCCAGCCTTTGGCAGCCACCAAAGGCCGGTGTCTGATGGCAGTAAGATTCTGTGGCTCCAGGGGATCCTTCAGGAATCCTGGCCAGAAAAGGGGAGCCTGTGACTTAGGTGCTGAAGAGAGATGAAAGGGGCCAGAGTGTGACATTGTGAAAGCAACGAAACAGGACAATTGTCCTCCTGTCTCGAAAGACGCGACCTCACAGTCTAGGGCTACGCTGGTGTATGGGCGGCAGAACTAACAAAAGTAAACGAGTCTTCTTAGTGGCACGAGAAGAGAAGTGCGTGGAAAGCAGAAGAAACTCCTACACAGAAGCAAAGGGAAAGCAGCCTAGGAGGCCTTTGGCATCAGAGACCGCAGGCTCAAGGCGCCCAATAGAGCCCCTTGTGGCCACCTGCTGTCATTGCAGGTTGTTGGGTCACCATCGCCCTTTCCCTGGTCACAGTGCCTCTTGCTGATTTCCTGATAATCAGCCCATCCTTCGGGGAGCAGCCGCCCCTGCAGTAGGAAGCAGCCAGAGGCAGGATCTCATCCAGGCTGTGCGTGGCTCTAGCCCACTGGCAGTCAGATGGCAAAGTGTGCAAGGACCACTAGACAGGCCCCTGAAAGTTTCCCTGGAAGCCTCCGTTTATTTTTGGTTTTTTTGGAGACAGGGTCTGGCTGTGTAGCCCAGGCTGGCTTCAGACTCGAGATCCTCTTGCCTCAGCCTCCCAAGTGCCAGGATTATAGGTACGTGCCACCATGCCCAGCACCCTCCATCCTCATTACTGCAAGTGGGACTTGTAATCCAGGGTGAGGCGGGGTGCACATGGGTTCTCTAAGAGCAGAAAGGCAAGGAAGCCCGGACTCTCCCCTTTGCTGGTTTAGAGAACCTGGACTGCTACAGAGACGCACGTCCTCCTCCAGCTATTAAGTAGGACCTGCCCGCAGGTGTATTAAGGTGTTGACATCCTGTGTCCCAGGGCAGCTGGAGGACAATGCTCATCGATATTGGTCCCAAGAGCCCTCTATCTGGTGCTGTCCCCAGGCTGTCACTTTCTACAGCTGCCTGGTCTGCAAAACTTAGGAAGCATCTTCCCGGACATGGGGGGAGCATGACGTCACCACGCCACCTTGTTTCTTCTCCCACCGAAGCCTTCACAGCCCAGAGCGCTGCCCTAATGCAGCCCACACCAGATGAAGGAGAAACGAGGATGCATACATGAGTTTTTCATAAAACTTTCCATGAAGCTAAATCTGCCCCTTAGTGTTCTGCTTTGCAGCACAACATGCACAGAAAAATGTCCAAGCAACGTAGCTCTCACTCAGTAATGTGTCACAGACCCTGCACCTGGGTGAAGAGCTAGGTCATCAGCACGTCCCACAGATTCACCCCACCTTCCCTCTCTGGCTTTGTCCCCAGGGGAACCCCTGCCCTCACCTGGAACACCATCCATTAATGTTGCTTCCTTCCCAACTTTATATAAGTGGAATTACAAAATAAGCGTGGTTTTGACTCTGGTTCCTTTCCCTCCATCTCGCATTTATGGCATTCGCCCATGGTTTTTCTACCAATTGTGTGTGCCGTCTCCTCGCTGTGCAGCCGCATTCCTTGTGCAGTGTCCTACAGTTCCCTCCTTCACTCTGCCGTTGGTGGGGGTCCCGGTTGTCTCCAGTCTGGGGTGGTAAAGAAGAGTACTTCTATGAACATTTGTTCAGTGCTGA